AGAGGGGACACATGTTGATGTAGAAGAGACATGAAGAAGAGGGGACACATGTTGATGTAGAAGAGACATGAACAAGTGGATTTTGCATAATAGGTGACCTTTAAAGTAGAGCAAGCAATGTTGGTTTAAGTACAAGCAGCACATAATCCTGACTTTGTAGCTAATGTATTAATATGAGTGGTGTATTTAGTTGTTGCTGTTAAAGCTTGGGTAGTTTTAATCTTAAATTGCTTCTATATTCTACTTCTATATTATTTGTTTACATTATTTCTTTAATTTATTTCCTTTTTCAGACTGGTTTGAAAGCAGTTTGGGTCCGATTGGTGACACTGCTTCATCTGGGTATTTCCCTTTAAAAATGTTTTTTTAATTAAAGCTGAAGGGACTTTTAGAACCTGTTGGATAGTACACAACTTTAACTGAGGAAATATGTGCATTTGGAGGGGTATCTCCACTCAAAACAAAACTTTTTACCAAGTGGATTTTTGTGCGTCATGAATTTCAGCTACAGATTTATAGTGTTACAATTTAGTGTAAAAGGTTGGGTGGAGGCTCTTGATCTCATTAAGATCGCAGTTGTAGTCCATGAATAATCTTTTACACTGTGTGACATGTTGTTCGTTGCCATATGGACCTACACAAAACGTTAATATATCCGCATCATAATCTTTACATTTGCATATCATTTCAATGCCCATACAGTACCATTCTTATGTCTGGACTATTGTGACAAAAGGAGGGATTTGATGTTTCTGCAAATTGAAATATTTCGCAAAATATATCAGTTATATTCATATACTGTAGATATGAGGTTTCTTATCCTTCATTTGAATTATTTAGGAAACCTGATTAACATTCAAACTAATCTGACAAACACACACAGTGCTGAAGTAATTAAGTTCCACTCGACTGGTGTCTGGATGCTACATCTTCGTGCAGATCAGTGTGGCTGGCAGCCAATCAGGAGGAGCCTGCTGCTGTAGAGCTTTGATCTGATTGGCCGGCAGCCAGTGGACAAAGACTTAGAGCAGAAAGACTCCAAAGGCTGCAGAACATCGAAGCATTCAAATGTCATCATCTCAGGGAGTTAGCAGCCAGTGTGGCGGGCGACCTTTAACGACTTATACACAGAAGACATATTCTCCTGGTGTTTGGTGATGTTTGTTTCAGAGTTTAGGTTTAAAGGGCTGAAAGTAGCAAACAGAGAGACTTACGGAGCAAATAAAGCCCAGTTTGCTCTGTTTTATGATAATGCTCGCCACACAAATTGATTGACAGTAACAACCAGTGGTGGAAGAAGTACTCATGGTAGCAACACCAAAGTGAAAATATACTCTGTTACAAGTACAAGTCCTGCATTCAAAATCAAATTAAGTAAAAGTTCAAAAGTATTGGCATCAAAACATACTTATAGTAACAAAAGTAAAAGTATGCTTTATGGCCCATTTCAGAATAACATATATGCAACTACTGGATAATCAATGATGCATTATTGTGTTCATCTCAGCTGGAAAAGATGGAGGTCATTCAAACTACTAGCTATCCTGCTGCTGGCTTTCTTTACCAATAATTAGATGTTTATTTATTAGCTGATTATATTTTGTTTGAGCTAATCTGTAAAGTAACTAGTAACAGCTGATATCTGTCCTGAATGAACAAACACTCAAAGATCCACCAGCAGGGGGAGGCAGAGCCATATTGAAGGGTCTGCTTTTAGAGCCTCCTCTCCATCAGTGATGCTGATAATGATGCATCAGAGTAGCCATTAGTCAGCATTTAAAACACCGTGTGGCAATACATGGAACAGAAATAACAGCAGATACCAGTGGGTTAACTCCTGTTTGAGTAATGCTGATATGCAACAATTGTATTGACCATAAAATAATGCTTTTACTAGCCCTGTGGTAAGCACATATTCAGCCTTTTTAAATATATTGTAGGAACAGTAGTGATGGAATAAGAAGGAGCAGCTACAGTGAGATTAGACAAAACTAAAACCTGCAACTTTTAGGTAAACACAAATTCTTAACTGATATCGAGTGCGGATGTCGACGTGCCATTGTGTGCTTGGGACACTTCACTCTAAATTGCTCCTGTGGGTGTTGTCCACAGTATTCAGTCTATTACATGTCTAATATATGTAATATGTAATGTACAGGGTTCATACACTTTTTCACCAATGATTTTCAATGACCTCTCCATGACCTCTACCTCATTTTCCATGGCCCAAAAAATAACTCTTTCTCAGCGGTACCATTGAAAATGGTTTATTTTAACATGGAACAGGAAAATAAGGTCTGCATATGAAACATGTTGTTCCTATCTAAAACAAATCCAATAGTAGGCTTACTAGCTTCTACACGCTAAAGCAACTCAAATCTCTTACCAGCAAAACACCTCGTCAGTTAAATGCCATTTTACGTTTCATTACTATACCATACAGTATGTATTATCATTATAGTATTACTATTTCGGCAATTAGATAAAACATAAATTATATTTGATGCAACTTTAGTTACATTTCCATGACTTTTCCAAAACTTTGAAAAACATTGTTTTCCATAACTTTTCCAGGACCTGGAATTGGCATTTTGAATTTCCCTGACTTTTCCAGGTTTTTAATGACCGTAAGAACCCTGCATGTAAAGCACTTTGAGCACTAGGAAAAGCGCAAAAATAAATACCATGAATTATTATTATATCTTTGCTAAAACATCTTAAATATATTTGGCTGTGCTGTAAAGAGATGCATCGACTGCTCTTCTGTTGAGTCTCTGATAACGAGTGGTGGGTTAGTTTTAAAATGCACTCTCTGGTATCATCAGTTATATCATCATCACTTTAAAACCTTTAAAATAAACCAGGGTTTTGGGTCTGTCTTTAAGTAAAACATATTTTTTTGTTGAACATCTATGAGTGACATGCTGCTTCTTCTATCTTTGCAAAACAATTCTTTTTTTTTTTAAATAAAGAAAATGAGCAAATAATGAATCAATCACTTATTTAGCTGACAGGCCGTTTCAGTCAGCACTAAATCATTACATTCTCCACCAAACTAAAGTGATTCATTATAACAAGTACAGATGATTCATAGATCAGGTTAATGAATCATTAAGTGTTTCTTTTACTCTTACTTTAGCGTCTCGGCCAGGAAGAAGCTCTGCTGCACGTCGTCGTAGGTCGGGTTGGAGGAGTAGACGTCCTTCACCCCGGAGAAACCTCCACTCACCCTGCAGTACTTATCAATGGCCTGGAGGAGACAAGGAGGGAGGGAAGGAGGGAAGAGGAGATGAAGAAGGAAAGGGGACACATGAGGAGGAAGGAAGATAGGAATAAAGGCAACACATATGGAGAGAAAGGGAATGAAGGGAGAGGATAGAGAAGAATAGTGATGTAGAAATAAACAGAAATACATAGAAGGAGAGAAATGAAGGGAAAACAAATGATAGGGGGATTACATGGATAAAGAGAAATAAGGAGAAGTGAAAGGAAAGAGGGAGAGACAGTGTGGAGGGGAGGGGGTAAAGAGAGAATGTTTAATAAGCTTAGTAATGCATGCTTTAATTCATTTCTTTGCTTGTGACAGATTAGAGCGAGTCCTGGGGAGCCATACAGGAAACAGCTGGAGGAAAAGAAGATTATCACAACCCTGCATTTTCATGTTTCTCTATAAAAGGTAATCTTTTCAATCTTCTACACGAATCATTCAATTCAAGTAATGTTGCATCTGAGTGAGTAGAAGTTTAATTTGGGGTCATTTCACAATCTCCTTTTATTACGGTCCATACTGTATTTACCCGAGCTACGTTTATATTTGTACCTTCTTATTTTTGGAATTTTTTGAACTTATTAAAGATTATTTAATATTTGTATAGATTTATTTAATTACATTTTAGCCATTTATTTTCCAATTTATGTTAATATTTGTTAATATTTTTCATTTGATCTTTTATTGGACATTTTACTTGAACTTATTATGTTAAAATATATTTTTTATCCTATTCTATTTAGTATTATTTTTTTAGACATTTAACTTTTCATTTTCTTGTTTCTCTTTATTTCTTTTTATTTTATATTCTTAAAGCTCACCTATTATACAAAATCCACTTTTTCATGTCTCTTCTACATCAACATGTGTCCCCTCTGTGTAAAGAGATTCTGACAGTTTCAGGAAAAAAGATTCTCTCTCTTTTTGTCCTGATCCATTTCTATTAAAACCTGTCTGAAAATGAGCTGATCAGATTTTACCCACTTTATGATGTTATAACGATTTTTTTGGTTTGAGTAACCATTAGCCAATCACCAACCAAGGTAACCCCCCTCCCCTCCCCTTATCGCCTGAATCTCCTCCTAGAGCACCATTGTGTTCTTTGTAACAGAATCTCTCTCAGAGGGGCGTGGGGAGGGGCTCCTTATTTTCATCTAAAGTAACAGACAGAGAATCAGCACTTTTGAAACAAGGCTGAAACAGATGGGATTATGGGTAATGCTGCAATGATCTGTTTGGTGTTTGGAGCCAAACACTTCAGAGACATGGTCTGTATATATCTGAGACCTATAATATATTGATGAGAAACAGTATAATAGGGGACCTTTAAGTTCTGTATAAATACTTTTTTCCTATTTTACTTGGTCTGTAATTGGAAATTTTCCTTGAATCTCTTTTGTCTAAATAAATATCTTTATTTCATTTAATTGTATTTTTTTATTATTGCACTATTTTATTTAAAATCCTTAGGTTTATACACATATATTATTTATTTAGGATCTGTCATGAAACCCAATTTAAACCGGGATAAACAAAACAATATTTTGATTCTGAAAGAGTTACACCATATTCATATCTACCCTATTATATACATATATACTTACCCCATAATGTACTATTTACGTTTCTGCATATCACGTTCATATCTCACTATTTATTCTTTTACAAATGTCAATATACATTTTACCGCTGCTCAGATTAGATCAGGTGTGTCAAACTCAAGGCCCGGGGGTCAAATCCGGCCCGCCACTTCATTTGATGTGTCCCACAAGA